AAGATTTTTTTCTTTTCCTTGTCCTATAACCCATAAGTAAAGAATATGCTATCTAAGAACATTGGCTTTGATAAAGGTAGTGTGATCAATATCCAGAATTCTAGTGATGATACTATCAATAATCAAGTATCTAGTTGGACCTGAGATTGAATTTGTAATAGTTTCTTGAGTTAAAGTAATATTCAAGAAGATTTGTAAGGCCCATAACTTTTTTTGTTGATCATATTTGTCCATTAGATAGATTAAAATTTCAATAATATGTGCTTCTCTTTTCTTAGTGACCTGTAAGAGTTTATGTTTTCTCATGGATATGTTGATCATATGATATAAAAAGTTAGTTGCTATATACGGTATTGATATGTTTTATTAAATGCTGTTTTGGATAGTGCTAAATTATGTAATAGTTGTTTCTTGATTATTTGAGTAGTACTTGTTTGTTTGTTTTGTTTATTTATTCTTGTTTATATAAACAAGATATTGATCTATTGATCCACATGTTGCAGATTTGTTTATTCCTTATTATTATTTTGATAATATGAAAAAACCTTGTTATTTGTTATACCATGTTAATAATATTTATTTCACATGTATGTTGTGATAGTATTGTTGATATTGTTAATCAATCAATAGTAAACACGTGGGGTTATGAGTTGTTGATAATTTATTTGCATAAACACGTGGAGTTATAAGATTGTTGATAATTGATTTGTATAAATATGTAGAAAGTGTATTAATGTTGTTTATTTGACACGTTTTTGAGCTTGTTATGAAAAATATATGTGTCTGTATTTGTATAACATAATATTATTGAAATGCTGTTGTTGTGATGTGTATGCTTCTTTACTGTATAGTTAATGAAACTTGGATATTTCTCTAGGTTTTATGAGTATTTGGACTTGGACTGATTTATTGATTTGAGTTATTGCTTGTAAAGCTTCTCTTGATATCTAGAAAGATGTTAACCTGCACTGACCTAACTAGAAGCTTTGTGAGGTTAATGTTGGGCTTCCAAGAGCTTACTGTGATTCAGTCTTTCTTGTTGTTTTTCTCTTTCTAAAAGAAAAAATTTATATAATAGAAGTTAGTAATTTTTGTAAAACTTACCTTTTCTACACTTTATAAAGAGTTCTTGAACTTGTTTTTGTAAATTGTTTAGTTGTAAAGGTGGTTTTTCTTGTTTTTTGGCTGGTTTCTCTTGCTTCTCAAAAAATTATCAAAAAAGGAAATTTTCTAAAAAATTGGGGATTAGCAAAAAGAGTTTTACTTCTATCAAAGTTTATATATGCACTATATAATATTATTTTTCTAAATAAATTTAGGTTATATTAATAAAAAAATTCTTTTGTAAATAAAAAAAATATAAAATTAGATTAAAATAAGTAAAAAAATAAATAAATTGAAAAAAAAAGTAAAAAATTATAATTTGAAATAATAAATTTTGATTTAAGTATATCAAGGTAATGATTTTACTTATATATATATAAAAACTAAAGAAAAATTTAATATTAAATATTTGATTTCAACTTTTAAATCAGATAAAATAAATGTAATAGTATAAATATTTTTTCGTTATTATAGTTTAAATCCTTTGATATAAGTTTTTGATAATATGATAGCAAAAGATTATGTTAATATTTTAATATAGTTGAAAAAAAAAATTATATATTTCAAGATAATAATACAAGAATTTATATAACAAAATTAACTATATAATGGTTTTAGAGGAAATGGAATCAATAAGCTTTTTTAATCTTAAATAAGTCTTGATTAATTATATATAATATTTATAAAATAAGTTAGAACATCATATATATAGTCACATTCTATTATTAAAAAATAAATCAAAATTGTTTGATTTATTATAAAAAGAATGTTTTAATTTAAATGGCTTGATTTATATAAACCTTGTTAGAAGTATGAATTAATATGTTAATATTGTGAAAAAGCTCAAGAAGGCTCTACATAATATTAATTATTATAATATTAATAATAATTTTGATAAATTTTTTTCAGGAAATGTACACTTATCTAACAAAAGTATCTGACCACATGTTGATTATCACGATTTTTAAAATTCAAATTTGATTTTGTTTTTATTTTTATTTTTATTTTTTTTTAAACACTGGCTTATCCTGCACCTCTCCAGTTATATTATTAATAGAAAATCATATTTAGGAACAATTAGGATGAATATTTCTCTATACTGTCTGAGGATTTACAGATCATTAGAGAGACAATAGTACAAAAAGCTATCTATTTATAATACTCGATCTAAGTCTACCCTAACCACGATAAAAAAAATACATGACTGCCTAGTGTAAATACTCTCTTCTAATACCAAAGAGGGAATTGATCAAATATACTCGAAGGTGTATTGCTGGTTGCCTACTACTATTAGTTTGATACTATTTAGAATTTTAATCCACCAATCGGCTTGTTGCCACCATTAGAGGGGCCTAACCTGCCAGAACTTGCCCAAGATACTCAACACCATCCAGTGCTAAGGGTTACTTGTACTAGTCGAGGACCAGTCAGTGTGAAAAAAGTAGAAGTAAAGAAAAAGAAGAAAAACAAGAGGAAAGGTTAAAAAAAAAAAATTTTACAAGAAAATAAAATAAGGGAAGAAATGAAGAGACACCTAACAATTATCCATCCACTCAACTTTGCCTCTAAAGGTACTCAATCTATAGCCTTGACACTTTTGGAGTTAATGAGAAAGAGGAGATCACAGTCCATGTGATGTTTATCTATTTGTATCTAATTAAAGACTTATGATAAATCTAAGGTTCTTATGGAGCTTAGGAAATGTATTCACGTCCCATGTTATGTATATCCTTGTTTACTTTTTTGCTAATCATGAAGCAACCAATCCCAATTTTCAGCCAATCAATCTATCCAAAATCCAGTGTAACAGAAAATTCAAGGTCAAGTTGGGGTAGACAAAATTTTCCAAAATACTAAGAAAAACTGTTGCATGCTAGGAGAGAAGTCATTTTTGCCTGTGGTATTGTGTCAGTTTCCTGGACTGGCATGAAGTTATTGACCTACACTTCTTTCTAGACTTTGAAACCTCCATAGAAAAGAAAGTGAGAGTGTTTTTTCATCTGGTTTCTTCTTCCTAGAAAAGCTTTCTTACCATTAACTTCTTAGGTAGAGGGTTTTTGAAGAGGAAAGATAAACAAGAAGGATAAATTATAACTACTGCTAACCGAAGCAGATGTTTTTAAGAAAAGTTATAAAGTTTTGTTACTCCCAAAACATAAAGTTTTGGGGAACGCTTCTTTGAAAGTAATGGTCAGGGATCTATGGAAAAGAGTTTTTTGGTTATAGATAGTTTTTATGTGATTTTGTTTTTATTATTATTAAAGAATTTACTAAATAACTTTTAATAAAATTTATACTAATATGTTTATAAAAATCTGAATTTTTTATTAATACTATTAATATTTTATTGGATTTTTACTACAATCTATTATAGCCTGAATTCTTTTTAACATACTTTCTATTAAATTTTTTAAATTTTCTAATTCAATTTGATTCCATTTTTCTTCTAAAATAATCATTAATTCTGCAAGATTTTTTGGATAGGAATTATGTTTATGAATTCTTTTTTCTAAAATATTCCATAAATACTTAATTGGATTAAAATCTGGTGATTGTGTAGGCTAAGAAATATTTGTTATTGAATTATTTTCTAATTATTATTTAATTATTTTTGCCTGATAAACTAGAGTATTATCATCTTGAAAAATATATTTTAAATTATTATTATTTATTTCATTAATAAATTATAAATGATTATTTTCTAAGACTTCAATATATATTGATCGTGTAATTTTACTAGAAACTTGAATCAAAGGTTCAATCTTATTTTTTGTAAAACATCCACTTATCATTATATCTTGATTTCTTGATTTTACTGTTAAAATTAGATAACTTATATCATATTTTTCATGTGAACATCACCAAACCCAATGATGTGAGTTATTTTGAAATAATAAAAAGTGAGATTTATCATTTTAGATTACTGTATTCCATTCTAAATCCTAATTTTTTCTTGTATAACATCATTTTAATCTTTTTTTACAATTTTCTTCAGATACTAAAGGTTTTCTTTTTTCAACTTGACCATAAAATCCTTCATTATGCAAAATATGTTGAATAGTATGAGAGCTTATTGAGATTGTTAATGATTGACTAAATTTTTCTATTATTTTATTTAAAGATTGTTGTCGATCTTCTTTTATAATTTTTACAAGATGTCTAATGTCTCTTTCTGTCAATTTAAATGGTCTACCAGACCTATAAATGATATTAGTTTATTGATTTGTCTTATATCTTTCAATAATTTCATGAATAGTTGTTTTTGGATGATTAAGAATATCTTTAATATTGCATTCACTGTGATCACCTTTCCATAGGCCAATAATTTTGCCACGCTCAAAATCAGTAAGTTCACGAATTTTAGGCATTAATTTTTTTTTTATTTTCGAATAAAGGAAGTTTGTGACTACACAGGAAAAAAATTTTGATGCATTTTTATGCATTAGATTTCAAGTTATTTTATGGATAAAGTTTGGTTCTTAGAGTAGTGATCTTCATGTGGTCGGATACTTTTGTCAGGTGAGTGTAGCATATCTAAAATAGAAATGTTATATTTTTTTTTGATTTACAGTAATTGATTTTCAGCATTCTAGTTTTTTTTTTATTATGCGAAAGGTTAAAGCAGTTTCTGATTTTATTTTAAACAATTATGATAAATTACAAAATCTTACATCGAAGTCATTAGTAGTTGGTATAAGTGGACCGCAAGGATGTGGTCAGTAGCCTTATCATGCTTCAACTTGATTTTCACGTTTTCATTTATTAACCCACTATGTCTTGAACGTACAGGAAAAACAACAATAGTTGGTCAAATAGCACAATATTTAAAGGTTTCTCGCAACTTATCTACTGTCTGTTGTTCTATTGACGATTTTTATCTTACTTTCAAAGAACAAATGCAACTTTCGCTGCAAAATCCTGGCAACAAGCTTTTAGAATACCGGGGAGAACCTGGTACCCATGATATATTACTAGGTGCCAACACATTGCAAGATTTGTGCGTGGTCCAAGAATCTTATAATCATTTTCGGAATAGACCCGAATATGAAATTGACATGGATAATTTTAGTGATCTTAATAGAGTATCGATTCCTTCATACAAAAAATCATTAAATCACGGTCGAGGAGATCGTGCTGAGAGGGAAAGTTGGATTGATGTGAAGCCGCCATTTGATATTATTCTTTTTGAAGGATGGTTGCTTGGATTTAAACATCTATGTAAAAACCAACTTGAACAAGCATATAGCAGGGCATTAGTAACGCCATCATTATTCACGATGGCATCTCATCCTCTTTCGCATCTTGAAGCAATTAATGAAAATTTGAAAAAATATGAAAAAGAATGGTACCCATTTCTTGATTTGTTTGTTCATATTGACGCAGAAGACATTAATGATGTTTATCAATGGAGATTGGAACAGGAACTAAATAGGATTAATCTAGGAGAACCTGGGATGACCAAGGAACAAGTTCATGATTTTGTAGATAGATATATGCCCGCTTATGAACTTTATCTACCTAGATTGCGCAAAGAGAACTTCTTTTGTGATATTATTGAACAGGACGATGAGAATAGATGTAAGAATAATAATGATGGAACGAAAATTAGTAAATGTTTAAATCATGAACAACATTATGGAAGACACTTGAAACTTATATTCAATAGTAATAGAGATTTGCTGAGTAAGATTATAACGTGAAGGCGTACCGTTTAAAGCTTTTTTAGCATAGTTATTAACGCGATTCTATTGGAAATTTAAAAGGTATTTAATTGGTAACAAACTAAAAAGCGAAATATATTTTTGACGAATTGTTCATTTGTATAATCAGTCTTAAAACAAAATCAAAAAAATGAAATTAATAATGGTTAATTACGATATAAAACATAAATTGAATTAATTGTCATATTCAATCCTTTTTTTTTGTAATAATCTATTATGTCAGGCTGGAAGCATGTATTTATTAAGTCAATATACACTGCCGGTCATAAGTAACCGATCCGGCATATATTTTTTTTTTATTTAATAATGTCCCCCCAAAATTTCAGGGATTAAGAGTAACACGAATCCTGATCACTCTTATATTTTCGGGTTTGTGTGACTTCTAATTCTAGCGTTAGATAATCGCCAAATATTACACTAAAATTATGGCTCTTCCACTTCATAAGCGATACGAAATTGTGTTTTTATATGAACACCCGAGGATACAAAATCTGAGATTTTCAGAAATAGCAGCTTATATTGGTTGCTCTAAGTCTATGGTTATTTACTGGGTTCAAAGATGGTGGATTTCAAAAGATCTGTCTGATAAGTAAATTGTTAAGATGGTGAAGACAAATCACAATATAACAAGTTCTGAAATACAAGGAATTATGGAGAGAAATGGTGTAAGTATTAGTGCAAGAACTATTAGACGACATATTGGTGAAGCTGGGGACAAGTATATAAACAAAATTTTAAAACCTTTTCTTACTAACAATCACCAAAATCAATGGTTCCAGTGGACAAAGAGACATATAAATTTCAATTGAAATTCAGTTATTTTTTCAGATATGAGTACCTTTCAACTATTCCCATCACAAAAAAAAGTTTAGCAGTTCAAAGGGAAAAAAAAATATACTGTACTGTTAAGCACTCATCAAAGGTTTATATATAGGATGTTTTTTGGCTTTGGGATTTGGGAGGTTAGTATACTTCTAGTAGAATCTTAATTCAAATTTTATGGTTAAAATATATAAAAGGAGTCTTTTATCTTCTTCTGTCAAATTTTTTGATACAGGTAACTTAGAATAGTTCCTGCAAGAAGATAATGATTCAAAGCACCGGTTAAAAATCACAAAAAATTGGAATGAGAAAAAGGATATTAAGGTACTTCTATAGCCATCAATGTCACCTGACCAAAACCTTATAAAAAATATGTGACAAGTAATGAAATTAAATATTTCAAAAAAAAAATTCAGTCAATAGAACAGTTAAAAATATTAATTAGAAAGAATAGAAACAATTCTCATCTGAATTTGCAACTAAATTGGCAAGCAATATGCATTGCCGTATAGAAGCTTTAATAGAATTCAAGGGGAACTATACGATATATTGAGAATCAATATTAGTGGTGAAGTTTTTTTTAAAAAAATTTTTTTTTAAATTGACTTACCGGTTTAAGAAATAAAAGGGGTCAGTTACTTATAACCAGCAGTGTAGAATCTAAATAACTTACACAGCTAGGTATACCTATGAAATCTTCCAAGACAATTCAAATAAAATCTATTGAACAAAGTTCTTGTTCATAAATTATCTCTTTGTGATAATTAATGAAATTTATTGAAATAATTTTATTCTTTATATAAGGAAATTTGACTCAAAGAACTCCATTTTTTAAGGAAAAAAAAGTATAATAAAATATTTTCTAATACTATTTAATAACCAGGATCTTTATTCTATTACTATTTTTACATATTTATTTATAATTATTTCTTTGATATTCTTATTGATACTTAATTAGCATAAATCACTTTATCAAATATAGTACATGATATAATTTACTATAGATCAAGTAGTCCAGAAGGTCTAGAAGGTTCAAGTGACTCAAGTAATCCATTTTGCAAATATATATGCAATTTTAATTTGCTTAAAAGTAGAATAGATTTAATAATAATTTCACTTGACTTTAAAAGTTTATAGTTAATTTTACTTGACTTTTTGAGAAATTGGATATCTTCTTTTGATTTTAGGACTAAAGAAATTGTTTTGGTTTTCTGGATTTATTAATAAACTTGGATTCTGAGTGAATCATATTTCATATAAAATACTGTGTGACACTGTTTAAAGAATTCTTGATAAATCTATTCTTTATTATTTTTTTAATTATTATAAATAGCTTCTTTAATTCCTTTATTAAAAATTAATAATTTTATTAATTTAAAATAAATTGATCTGTGGATCCATAGCACAGTAGTAATGCTCCCAGGTTATAATCACTAGATCCAAAGTTTAATACCACATGAGGATCAAGTGAAAATAAGTCACAAGATAATATAAAGATTTTATCTATCTCATAATAATAATCTAGTAACATGAGAATAACAATAAAACAAGAATCGATGTGTCAATAATACAGGGATTAATATTTCATAAAAGATCAAGATTACAAGATTCTGATTTATTTGTATTAATAAGACACAAGATTGTTTGATAAGGAAAAGAACCTATCTATTGGTGTAACTGTAAACTAACTGATATTTCTAATATAGTATCTGGTCTATATATAGATTGTGATCAGGTTATAATCTAAAATCAAATAGGATTATTATTGACACAATCACATTATCAATAAAAATGATAATAAGAAGAGTAAATCCCTCAAACTGATAGCATGCTTCTCAGAACTTACTCTTATATATGTGGGTTATACTGGTTTTTATAGACTTGATTATCAAGAGGCCTTTGTGAAAAGAGAAATTCACAAACCACTCTGAAGAATTAAAAACTGGAATCTAGAATACTTAATTCAATAACCTAATAACAAAAATATTCTTAATAAAAAATTGTTTTAGGAATAATTAAGATAAAATTATACAATCTTTTAGTTTTGAAGTTGGGCTGATAATAGTTATATATAACATTAGTTAAATATATACAGTATATAGCTATTCATATAAATAGGTTTACTATAATATATATATATAATTACTCATTTGTAATAATCAAATAGTTATGATTAATAAAATTACAAATTAAGGTTATGAATAACAAAAACAGCTTTGAAGACTACAGCAGCATGCTTTTGATAAGAAAAGAGAAAAATTTGGAAACTGATATGTAACTTGATTATGGAATGTGAGAAAATCTAAGGAATTTTATCAAAAAAGAAGCATAAATATACAAGAAACACGAAGAAGATTACAAGTATAAAAGAATAACAGAGTAGAATTACACAAGAAACCAATGAACACTTGTATATAAAAGTAACCAACCATTGTATGAATAGTATTTTACAGAACAGATACTCATCTAATTTACTATTTTCTTTAAATATCAGTGTTAGTGAAATCATAATACATTAATATTTATCATTAGGGTGAACTGTAACAAGTTGCAGAGTTCGTCAAGATATTGAGCCAATAGTTTTTTTCCTATAATAAATGTATTTTTCTTGCAATTCAATTTGTATATAAAAGAAGACACTAATAATTAAATAAAAACCAGATAATATGACTTTACCAGCTATAATAAAAAAAAATTGATTTAAAATAAAATTAAATCAAAATATAGTAATTTTAAAGTCTTTATATTGATCTATAAATAAAAAAAATTTTTTTAATTTCAATTACTAGTTGTTAAGAATTTGGATTTTTAATTTTAAGTATATATAATATATAAATCAAAATACAAGATAGAATCTAAAATATAGATAATAGTTATATATGACTTTTAATCCAACTATTTTCCTTCTTTTTTTTTTTTTTTTTTTTTTTTTTTTTTTTTTAAATTAACCCTCTGTCAGGTTAGTTAGGTGTGCTTTATTAAAC